CATCCGCAAGCTGGTAGGGGCATGGGGTGGTCTTACAGGGTGGGTCCATCCCTGGAGTGGATCCTTATCCCTGCTGGGGACAAAGGGAAGTCTCAGTGTTCCTGGGCAGGTCCTTCTCACCCCATCAGCACTTTGGGGCAGAGGGTGAGGCAGAGGGAACGGCTGCCCCGGGGCATGAGGGACAGGTCTGGGCTGTCCCTCCTGTCCTAGCCCGGTGCTAAGCCTCTCCATTTGGAGGAGGATGCGAAGCCCCGTGCCCAGGGCAGGGGGAGCAGTGTGGATGGTTTGGGTGCTGGTGCAGCACTGGTTTGACTGGTGTGGCTGCCCAAACTCTTTGAACCTCTGGTTCCCACGCTGGGGCTGGCGCCAGGGCTAGCTGGACCTGCTGCGCCACAGGCTCTGCTCCGGGAGCTCCTGGGACATCAAAGGCTGAGCTGGCTGCCCCTGGGCAGCGTGGGGTGAGCTCCTGCTGCAGAGAACCAGGGGATCAAGCCCCTCTGGACCCTGCTGAGGTCTCTCCCATGAGTTGCAGGATTCACCATGAGTCAGTGCCCAACAGATGGGACACAGGGTGGCCCTGACCCCATCCCACTGGCTCCTGTGCTGCTGCTGGAAACCCCCACATGTCCTTGTGGGGCCAGAGAGAAAGGAGCAACTTCTGCTGCCTGGAATAAACATGTCCCTCCCCCACCTTCTTGTCTCTCCTTCCAGGCTGACCAGTGCACAGGGCTGCAGGGCTTCCTGGTGTTCCACAGCTTTGGGGGTGGCACCGGCTCTGGCTTCACCTCCCTGCTCATGGAACGCCTCTCTGTCGACTATGGCAAGAAGTCCAAGCTGGAGTTCTCCATCTACCCAGCCCCACAGGTCTCCACAGCTGTGGTGGAGCCCTACAACTCCATCCTCACCACCCACACCACCCTGGAGCACTCCGACTGTGCCTTCATGGTGGACAACGAGGCCATCTACGACATCTGCCGCCGCAACCTGGACATCGAGAGACCGACCTACACCAACCTCAACAGGTTGATAGGCCAAATTGTGTCCTCCATCACAGCCTCCCTGCGCTTCGATGGGGCCCTGAATGTCGACCTGACAGAGTTCCAGACCAACCTGGTG